CCCACCCAAACCGTTCCACGATTCCATGGCTGGCAGCATCAGCACGGAGAGGAATCGAGCAGGCAGATTCAGCAAAACTCAAGGCAGGACGCCTTTCTCTCCAAACTCTCAGCAGCCTCAAGTCCATGCTGTGTGGCCGCCGCCAGAGCCCCGGCAAAAGGCGATTTAAAGAAGGCAGGACAATAAATCTGAGGAGTAACTAAAGCCCTGGGATTTACCTGCGAGTGGTCGTACCCAGACAGGCTCTCTCTTCCCGGGACCACTTCCAGCTCGGTCTGTTGTGGTGGCTGCTGCTGCTGCCTAAAATAGAAAGTGTCTGTAAGAGAACACCGGCTGCTAAAAACACTGGCCAAGGGGACAGATACTCTGTGGTTCCAGCAAGGATTCATTAGCCCAGAGGAGAGGCTGCAGAGAGGAAGGTTTGGGTGGGAAGGCTATTTGACAGGGGGGGCAGAAGCAGCAAGAAAGGCATGGAAAAAGGAGTCGAGCACCTCCTGACCTTGCGGGCAGCTGTGCCGTGCCCATCTCCAGGGGAAGGCTGACGCTCTGCCCCAGCGGGGGCCTCTGCATGGAGTTTGACAGGGTAGGCCGAGACTCCTGGCTTGAGTTCCTTTAAAGCAAAGAAAGACATAAAGGTGTATTGAAAAAAGGCCACCAAACGCAAGGAAACGGTTGGCTGTTGCACGGAGGAGAGCACTGCTGGCTCAGACAGGGTTGGAAGCTTTGCTTTGGCAAAACCTGTTCGAGCGAAGGATCCTGCCACCGTTTCCGCGGTCTCTGAAAGGGGAGGGGGTGTCACGTAATATTAATGCTCTGAGCCAAAGGGCTCTGCCCCCTCCCACTCCGTCACCGAGTAGGGGAGCAATTAAAAACCTACCCCTGGAGCATGGCCAGACCCGCTTCATCCTTCAAAAGCGCAAGCAAAGGTTGTAGGAGCCCAAAACTCTCCCCAGGGCTCAGCTCTGGGTCTGCCACTCCGGGGCTGGAGCCTCCTGCGGGTTTAAGCCCCAGATGCTGGGAGTTCTTTATGCTCTTCTGTCAACCCTCAGAGGTCAGTTAGCGTTTAACTCCCACGGGAAAGGGATACAAATCCAGCGTTTTCCTCGACAGTTCTTTTGCAAGCTGCTGCTTCAGCAGTAGCTGATCTCAAAGATGAGACAACACAGACAACCTCGCAAAGATGCACGTAGCTGAAACGGCCCCAAAACACAGATTGTTGCTTATCTGGTCTGAATTTCTGCTTTTACAAGGCGTAGTATGGACGTGAGAATGGATGCATGTGGAATGGATGAGTTCCAAGAGATCTCCCTAACACCGGGACAGGGATGAAGGCCCGGATGGGATCTGCATCAGCTTTCAGCCCTGCACTCACCCCGCAGAGCTCTGCGGAGCCAGAGGGATTTGTCACTGCTCCGCTCTCCACACTCTCCCAGAGCATCAGCTTCCCAGCTGCAGGGAGGGAAGAAGTGCTACCTGTAACTCTAGGACCTCGCCTCGTTGCAAAAACAACCCCAATCCTGGCAGCCTGGAGAGGCTGCGCCCGAGCCTGCGGTCGAGTCGCGTGCTGGTGCGAGGGGCCTGGAGCTCGCTCCTGGGAAGAGAGAGCAGCTCTGATCATCCCGAAGGAGACGCACCAACCCACCGGAAGAGCCGAGAGAGGGAAGAGGAGAGCAGCAGTGAAAGCCGTCTCCCCACCGGAGCTCGTGCCTGGCTTCAAGGACAAAACTACAGCAGCGGAGGAGGAGAATCAGCGTTTGCTTCCTACCATCGGCCGCAGACAGCCCTGCTCCCATGAAAAGCTGGAGCAGCTGCCCCCTCCCAGGGCACACTCAAAGGCAGACTTGACTAATATTAGCTCTGGAGGCAAACACGCGGACAGGAGACGCGCTCCAGTAACCCGAGTTAAAAAAGGCCCTGCGGGAGCCGAGCGCTGGCAGGTCGCTGAGCCATAGGGCCGACACAGCCAAAGGGATTACGCTGCTGGCGCTCTGTAGCCCTCCAGCGCCTGCCACGGCCCAGGAAAAGAGCGCTCAAGGGAGCTGGGAATTTCTCTGGGGCCTGTGCAAACCGGTGGGAAGAGTGGTGAGGGGAAGCCACAGCTCCCGCAGTTCCGTGCGTGGTTATCCTGGGACAAGATCCCAGCAGGTCTGCGCTATCACCGGTGGTCGGCAAGTCATTTCCGTGTACATACTTGACGTTGGTGTTGGTACAGATGATGTACTCAATTTCATCCGAGTAGGGGTTCTGGAAGGTAAAGGAGCTGGTTCTCATCCAGAGCCATTCCCGGTTTTTGGATCGGAATCGGAACATGACTGACAGAACCTGGCCTTTTAACTTCACCACCTAAAAAAACGTAATGCCATCAGTAGTACCTGGTCAACGGCGTCGCAGAGCAACCTGAGCACCAGCCACACACCCCCCTCCCCAGCTCAATCCCTGCGATGGCCCCTTCGCCTCAACGCCTGCAAGACCGCAGCCCGGAATTCCCCGACTCGACGGTGCCGCCGCTATTCCCTCCTGCTGCCTCGACTCCTGGATGACATGGCAGGGGGATCTACCATCCCCCTTCCCGGCTTTCGCTTAGCTCTTGGCGCTGGTGAGATGTATGAAAAAAGCCTCCAGTAAATGAAGCACATGCTGTCGCTTCCGATTCCAACTATTTGGACAAATGGATATGAGCAGCTACTTTTTTGGAGTCATGAAAGCACAGGGGCAGTCTTACCTGCCCTGCCACAAGTCCAACGCCCTCAGAAATAAGAGTAACGACAACAGGGCAAGCAAACCACATCCATTTCGAGTTGCGCAGCACTGGGCTGGGCCCTAGAGATGAACCAGTGTTTCAGCCACAGAAGCATGGTAGCCACTTGGTAGCCACGTCTCTGGCCCCAAAAGCAGGCTGGACGAGGAGCCAGAGGATGAATTCGAGAGTTAGTCATCGGATGCTTCTGTTCTGCACATTTACAGTTCTGTATCGGTAACCGTTTGCCGTTGGGCAAAGGAGAAATAGCTAAGGTTTGGGGTTTTTTTTTCCCCCCCCTCTTGCTTTTTCCAATTCATTCCGTCGCTTTGCGAGCAACGGGACAGATTCCGATCCCCAAACCAACACGGCCAAGGGGTAGCTGAAGGGGTTTACCTGCTGAAAGCTGTCCCGCAAAAGCTGTTGGTCTTCCGGGTGGCAGAAATCCACAATGTCTTTGCCCAGAAGTTCCTAGTTTTAAAGGAATTGGGAGAGAGTCAGCTCGTCCAGCAGGCAGATTCCCTCTTCCGGCTCTGCCCCGTTCATTCCACTCCGGACAGGGAGTTACTGCTCCCCCCTCCAGCCCCCCAACGCCGCGACGCAAACCAAGAACAGGATCTGGCGTGCTGGATGTTGGAGAGGAGCGCAACGGCGGCCGAGTAACGTTTGATCTCGACCTCAAAGGGAGGCAAACCCGCCGTTAATTGGCATTAGACACAACCCAGAGCCGCCCGCCCGATGATCAAAGCACGTGTTAAGGCACACGAAAAAGCAAGCGGCGGAGGAAAACCACGTCTGGTTTAGGCCCTGGTTTTATCGGATATGTTAGAGCCGTGGTGCACAAGAGGGAAGAGGGAAAAGGACGCTTGGAGAGCAGCTCTTCCCTAGGATGCTCCTACCACCTTCTCACCTGCGGCTGGTAGCCAACCGTCGCCACGCAGCGGTGGTCTATGAAGGTGAAAATGCCCTCGGTGTTGTGCCGGGAGATGAATTCCGTTGGCTGACAAACGTTGTTCATGTCCGTGCAGTTGGGCGAGCTGGTGACCTGCAAGGCAGGAGAGGTACGGCGTCGCCCAATCTCGCCGGAGCCGCTTTCTCCCACCAGCCAGCCCCGCAGCCGGATTTGGGGCAGTGAGGGAACGTCTCCCGAAGGAACAGTGGGCTTTTAGGACAAGGCAACGTTGAGCCATCGAAAGCTGCTACCCACCTGGAGCCTGCCGATAGCCACGAGGCAAAACTTGCTGCCCTGGCCAGCGTCCGGGTCATCGTCAGGCAGCGAGACGCCTAGGAGGGGCAGGAAAAAATTCCAGCAAGGTTAACACTGGGAAAACTGCTACTTCCAGAGGGACAAGACGACACACAGCTCCGACTTCAACGCATCTCTCCACCCCTTTTGTGATTCAGTATCCTTTCCCATGAAGGAATTTGGTAAATTAAGTTGCCTCCCCCTCCCTTTTTTGGCCAGAAGGGTTAAAGAGCTCGAACTTCCAGCACAAGCTGGATCAGAGGGCTGGAGCACCTCTGCTATGACGAAAGGCTGCGAGAACTGGGCTTGTTCAGCCTGGAGAAGAGGAGGCTCCGAGGAGACCTCATTGCAGCTTTCCAGTACCTGAAGGGGCTACAAGGGTGCTGGGAGAGGACTTTTTACAAGGGCCTGTAGTGACAGGACAAGGGGTAATGGGTACAAATTGAAATCAGGGAGGTTTAGATTAGATGTCAGGAAGGAATTCTTCCCAGAGAGGGTGGTGAGGCACTGGAACAGGTTGCCCAGAGATGTTGTGGATGCCCCATCCCTGGATGTCTTCAAGGCCAGACTGGATGAGGCTTGGAGCAACCTGGTCTAGTGGAAGGTGTCCCTGCGCATGGCAGGGGGGTTGGGACTAGATGATCTTTAAGGTCACTTCCAACCCCAACCATTCTGTGATTCTATGATTCAAGCTAGCGCATCCGACAGCGTAAGATGATGTTCATCCTCCGCAGCGCCTCTACCGTTCAGCCACACGGATCTCTGACCCGGCATCTGCCCAAATTCACCCAATCTGACAGTAAACAAGCGCCCGGGTACACGTCGAACGCATCTGCTGACGGGCTGAGTGCAGAGAACGGCCAAACCCCGAGCACACGCTCTCCAACCCAGCCACACCGTTTACCTGCGGGGGGCCAGGCTTTGATGTAGCCCGTGCAGTGCACCACAACGTAGTGAGGCTCGCCGTCCTTCGCTGCACCCAAGCCGTTCCTCGGGAGAGAGAGAAACAGGCTGACCGCGCTGCGCGTTGCGCTGGGGGAAGGTTTCGGCTTGTACGGGGGGGAAAAAGAGCCGTCACAGAACATCTTCAGGATTCTGTTCCTGAACTGAGCGGTACTTTGGTTCCTCTACCAACAGATCCACCTGAACTCTACGAGCTGCACTACCTACAGACACTCACCGCGTCCCCACCGCTCCGAGGACAGAGCGGTAGCGCCCTGTGCTCCCGGCAAGGCCACGTGCTTGCCCGCCACGATTATTTACCTGCAGCGATTCCTCATAAAGCTGAGACGATTGACGGAGACCGGATCCACCGAGCTGTTGCCACACCTGTACGGGAATGAGAAAGGCAAGGGGAAGGGCTTCTATCGTTCTTGCTCAGCATCAAAGCAATCTGACCATCTTCAATAAGAGGAAGCGCTCTGTAAACTGGGACGGAGCTTTGAAGCTCCGTAGAATCATGGAATGGGTTGGGAGGGACCTTAGAGGCCCCCCCAGTCCCACCCCCTGCCATGGGCAGGGACACCTTCCACTAGACCAGGTTGCTCCAAGCCTCATCCAGCCTGGCCTTGGACACTCCCAGGGATGGGGCATCCACAGCTTCTCTGGGCAACCTGTCGCAGTGCTCCCCCCCTCTGCGGGAAGAATTCCTTCCCGATGGCCCATCTCCATCCCCTTCTTTCCATTCAAATCCATCTCCCCTTGTCCTGTCACTCCCTGCCCTTGGGAAAAGTCCCCTCCAAGTCCATCCCACACGTGAAAAGCGGACCTCAAGGGATGTGACACACGGGGACAAACCAAACCATTCCTTGGATCTTCTACAAGCAGCTCAGCCCTGTTTATCACGATTATGGCATAACGAGCTGGAATGAAAGCACGGAGGGGCCTCTGGCTTTGGGATCAAATGGGATTTCCTCAAGGAATCTCTTCATTACCTCATTCGGCAGATGAAGGACCTTCGTGAACCCATACACATCCGCATGGACTGCTGGCCTTCCTTCTTGACAGTCCCCGTCTTCAAATCTAGGATGCGACCTAAAGGAAGAAGGACAAGGAAGCAGCTGCCGCAAGGCCAGTCCTCTCGCCAACGCGGGCACCAGGCCTGCCCGTCCCTTCCTGGGCCGCCCTACCTGTCAGGGCGTTCTCCGACGTGGAGAGCTGCTCCCTCAGCTTGCCCACGTCGTCCGGGTGCACCTGGTCGTACAGGGTGCTGCCGAACCATTCCGACTGGGGCTGGTTGAGGACGGGAGTCACGGAGTCCGAGACGTACACCACCCTCCCGGTCTCACAGGACACTATGAAGAGAAAGCCGTCGGCTGCCTCTAGGATGAGGTGTTTGAGTTCCTGCGTTCACAGACAGACAGACGCGCTCTTTACTCCACGGCCAAGCAGGCGAAGCCCCCTAAACCCACCCCGCGTGTTAACTCCTCCCCCCACCACCAGTTTAATTCCCCGCAGCCAGCCAAGACCTGGTCAGTGAGAAAGGAGGGTTTGTAGGTGCCGTCGGTGGAGGTGTTGCCCGTGCCGCGCAGGGACTTCATGTGCGAGACGGCCATGCGCAGGATGGTGAGCTTGTCCGGTTTGCGGGCCAGCGCGCTGCAGGTGGGCACCATGTCCGACAGCTCCGTGATGTAGGCGGTCATCTTGTTCCTCCGCCTCCGCTCGATCTCGCTGTGATTCTCCCTGCAAAAGGCCAGGATGGGGTCGGCGAGGGGGGAGAGGAAGATGAACGTTAGCCACGGGCCGGGCGCCTCGGCCATCGCCGCGTCTCAACGCTTCCACAAGGCCAGAGTGCAAACCACAGGGATGCGTCGGGGTGGTTAGAAGGACGGCAAGCGCCTGGCATGCTGGGCGTGCACAGAGGAACGAGCGCAAGGAGGACAGGCTACGGTCGGAGCTTCGC